CAGAATTCCTCCTGATTCCACTCCTTTCCACGCACTTCTTTTTTAGCAGATACTCCCCCTGACAAGAGAAACACTTTAGAGCTGCCAGTTGGCATTTTATTTCCATACCTATCTCCACATCCCATCCACAGCAAAAAAGAACGGTAGAATGGGAATCACCCCAAAACATCTCTTTCCAGCACTATGTTCATCTCAATTGATACACTGTTCTTTGTCCCTGAGTGCCCACTCCTTCCACTAACTGAAAAGAGAAAGAATTAGCAGGGAAAAAAAGGAATTAAAATAACTTACGAGACAGTGAAAAGCCATGCAGGATATAGTGAGTTTCCATGTTCACCTGACAAAGGAATGAGAGACAGAGGCTTTGAAGAACAGAAGCACAGCTAAACATGAAGTACCGTAAAAATTAATCCAAACAGGGGAAAAAATAAAGCAACAGTAGTAGGAAAAGGCCTGGTGAATTGAAACCACAGATAAAGACAACAATGAAAGAAAGAGACACAGAGATGATGTAACATACAATACAATTCAGCCAGCAATGTTTTCCTTTCAAGAATTATTGAGAAAGAATATATATAAGAGGTATGATTAGGAAATGTAACGTAAGAGTAGAACCAAGCAAATATATGGAGGTAAGTGGAGTTTTCTGGATTATCATACTGTCCAAAGATGACACAGATCCCATGATTTTCACCAACTACAGCTCACACCTGCTAGAGCCATACAATGATCAGCTAAGCTTGCTTGTAAGGGCATCCTCCTCCCTGAATACCACATTACCTCAGGCACTACCCTGGTAGAACTATACTGCTCCCTAGACCACAGCAACATAGATGACTGCACCACAACCCTTTCCACATAAACAAAGCCCCTGCCCAAAGACAAAAGCAGTTGCAGTGATTTCCTGTAATCCCAGATTAATCTAAAAAACATATTATATATCTGTAATGCATACAGAAAAGGCAGTTCTGCTTTTAAATTACCTACTCAGGATGGGATTCTGATCAGATCCATATGGACTAAAGAGTTATGCTAATGATTTACATCCACTGAGTTGTGCTCCTAGAAAATAACTGTTTGTCTTAATTCTAAATTAATTTTAGTGTATGAAATGTAGAACACCTTCATGTCTCCAAGAATTATACAGGATATGGAAGAACTACTGTTTTGATTGGCTACCTAAGCTTTCCAAAAGTCAGTTTCTATTTATAACTTGACTTGTACTGAATGTCACACTTAGGTTTAAACTAATTTTGAGGTCTTTGAAAAACTGAACAGCTAACAGTTAAGCAGTTTTGAGGAACAAATCTGCTTTTAATCTCACAGTTAATTCTGTTCCTCTCAGACTTTATACACTCTTAACCACAGCATTTTATTAATACTGGTCAGTTGGAAAAGAGGTGAGATTTTAATCATTAGCAAGCTGTCAAAATTTGAAAGGACAGCCCCCTGCCCCCAAAATGTTTTGTGAATCAAAACCAGGTTTAGGGACGTGCCAAAAGAAAAGCAAAAGTATATGCAGTGTGAAGCCTTTTAGATGTCTACAATATGTCTACAAAATAAATATATATTACCTTAATTGAATTGAAGAAAGATTCACCAATGCAAGAAATTGCTTATCATGATGCTTCAATTGAAGGTTTTTTAATTTTCCTGAAAATCCATTCATTTTCAGAAGCAAACTTACTTTTATTATACATTTATATTAACTGCCATGGGAGTAACTGTATTTTAATGAAAAAGCAGCTTTGAAGGAAACCAAGAAGTTGAAAATTGCATGTGCAGGGATTCAGCTATTTTCAAATTCAGCCAGTAGTGTCCATGAACTCCTGGTACTGCAACATAAGAGACTCAAAGAGATGGATTACCTCAGCAATTCATCTGAAAGGACACAGTTCTGAACTAAAGTGCTCGTTGTGAGTTCATACCTTAAAAAATACTCTTCCAACAAAACTGAACCATGATTAAAGATGATCAGATCCCAAATGGACTGAAAAATAGCAGGATATATTTAACCAATAACCCAGCGTGAACTATTCTGGTATTCCTGGGCAGTAATGTCCCTGTCACAGAGGTATATTATGAAAAACAAGAGCTAAAACTCTAGACTAACCAAACAACCTCAAACTATCTCAATCTACGTAGGCTTTTGGTCTTCAAGTCCTTGCAAAGATTAACATACTAATTTGCATAATTGTTAACATAATTCTGTAAAGTGATACTATCAAGTTGGTGGAGTATACGTATGTCCTACATGCGCTGAATCAAGAGAGTCAAGCATAACTATCAAGCTCTAGTAGCCACAAATTCCTAACAAATAAATACTTGGATTTTCTCTTCAGATCTGTGTTAAACCTCAAGTCATGAGACCAGTTTTGCCAAACACAAGAGCGGCAGAAAGTTATCAACTGGTATCTATAAGGCACGAATGTGCCTTTGTCTTCAGGTTACCAAACATATTCAAGCAGCAAAAGTCTGCAGGATATGAGCTCTGAACAACACTACAAGAAAATTAGTTAAAGAGAAAGTAGGTTTTATGTTTCAAACTGATGATGGTCCTAAGGTCCATCCCCCACATTTCATACAGTTGCTGACACTAATGTTGAAAGCCAAAGTGCTTGCAGCTGGTTCTCCGATGTGCCCAAGACACTTCAGAGTGAGATAACAAGGCAGCATTATGTAGCAAAAACTTGCAAGCATTACTCTATATTAGAGCCGAAGGAACAAGAGACCTACCTACCAGAGCATACATCAAACAACTTCCGTATTAGAGCCCTCAGTGTTTTCTAAAGTTGAAAACTAGCAGGCATTCTTAGCTTCAGGCTAAATCCTTCACCAGGTGAAGTACATTACAATGAAAATTATCAAATCCTACCTGAATTGAAGCCTGTTCCCATACCAGTTGAAAACAAGTGAGAAACAGCCTGATACCTCTACCCTGTTCTGCCAGGCCAGTCAACACTCCTCCTTCTCAGTGAGTGTAGTGATAGGACGAGGAGTAACAGTTTCAAACTGAAAGAGGGTATGATTAGATATTACGAAGAAATTCTTTACTGTAAGGGTGGTGAGACACTTGAATGGGTTGCCCACAAAAGCTGTGAATACCCCATCTGTGGATGTGCTCAAGGACAGGTTGGATGGGGCTTTTGAGCAACCTGATCTAGTGGAAATTGTCACTGCCCATGGTAGGGGGGGCTGGAACTAGATGGTCTTTGTGGTCCCTTCCAACCCAAACCATTCTATGATTCTACGAGCATTACAAAGTCAGAGGCAACCAGTTTCTCATCCCAAGAGCAATAGAAATTGTACAAATATTTAATCTGCTGGAAGCAAGACTAAGAACCAAGCATCCACTTCTCCTTCCTTATTTCTTTACCTTGGCACTTTTGAGTTCCTTTTCTTAATTAACCCACTGTACTGACAAGAGAAACAACCCAGAAAAATAAATAAATAAATACATGTCATGGGTTGACCACAATAAATAACCCCAAAACCCCACCAAAAATCCAAACTACAAACTCTAAGCCTTTCAGCCATCGAAGGCAACATGAGGACTGCAAGCATGGTCTTGGCAGTTCCCATATCCTTGTACTCATAGGTTAAAGCACCTCAAAGAACCACTTCCTAGTCATGCTTCCTCCTTTTGTGGGGCCAGGGAGTAGTGTCATAGTCTGCCAGTCATGGTAGGAAAAGGCTGAAGAGGAGTGAAAGACCCTCAGTGTCCTATCCAGATGTTTCAGTGACAAAAACAACTTATTTGCTGACCCCTTCAGTATGGCCTAAATGAGAGATGCCAATGCAGAGGGGTTTCCTGGGTCCACCTTCCATCAGCACAACCTTAAATCCATGCTAGGGCTCTGGCATTTGCATAAAAAGAAACTGGATTAGAGATGTGTTTTGGTTGAAAACTGACCACATTTTCATGTATTTTTCAGGTCAGTTTTCAGCCAGATCATATGGCTGTACAGAGGCGAAGGCTGGTACAAGGAAGGTAAAGAATACCTTTGGTTCAGAGAAGATGGGATCAGCTCCCTCCACAGCAGCACAATGCTTAGGCTGGCTCAAAGTGTTTAAGGATTGGTTTCCCAATATGATCAGCCTGCAGGCCTTCCTCATGCCCCCACGCTACAGAACAAAGTCATACAGCATTTGCAAAAGTATAAGGTGAACATCCCTCTGCTCAGGTGCACAGATCAAACTGCTGTCTAGTCCTCTGCTTCCAGAACTAGCTCTGTTTTGTTATTCACAGTAACTAAGAAGGAAGAATTCTCTGTATGTTCACCTGAAAAATCAAGATGACAGCTCTGTGAAATATTCTATTAAGCTGACAGCATTTCTCAGGTATGTTTTGGCTTGTTATACAGTTTTGAGCTTGATATTTGTACACAAAACCAAAACTGACATAAATAAAGGTCATAGTATAACTCCTGGAACCATGCCATATCAGGAAACAATGGCTTCAGAAAATCAGTGCTTCCATCAACCTCAGGAGGCAGGTAGGTTGCAAAGTCCTGCTTCTGAGCAAGAGATCTAAGATAGAGATTACTGTATCAGCCTCCTGAGCTAGCACACAGCAAACCATAGAACATGTCAGTACTGAAAGAAGGAGACTGGAAACCCTACTACTTTCTTAACTCAGTACTACTGCTTTCTTTTAATAAATAGTCTCATGAACACTGGTATTGAAAAGGCTACAGGAAAAACAAGACAAAACTTCCCAAGAAAACCAAAGTGAAGTGAAACGGCATATTTAAAAGCTTAAAATTTCATCAGACAACCACACCTACTAAGCTAAGCAGTTACAAAAAGCCCAAGACAAACAAAAAACTTTAGACAAACCTCCAGAAAAGGTCACAAACAATACACACCATCATTAAATAGATAGCAAATTTTAGAAATGCTAATCAAGAAAATACTTTAAGTACTTGATGGTATGATCCCCATAAAAAGTGAGGGTTTTCAAAGTAGTGAAATGTGTTTGATATATTAGAAATACTTACAACTACTCCACTCTTGGTGACAGTTTCCCGGTATGTAAAATTGCACACTGCCCAAGCTAGGTAATACGTGGACATAAGAGGGGTCTGTGAAAAGTGATCTGTAACCCATCCATCTTCTTCAAAAACAGAAGTTTCAACTGGCATGTTGGACAAAGACAAGTAAGTTGCTTGATGTCTGATACTGATTTTGAAAGTGGCCTTGTAGATGGGCTCATCAAAGCAAGGAAAGGCTTTTCTGGCGTGAGTAGGAGAGAACTGCGTAACAGCAAGAAACCTAGAAAAGCAGCAAACAAAAATAAAAAGTAATTACTAACTGTGCCCAGCACTTGATTCATAAACATACCAAATAAGACATTGCTTCACTATTGTGGTTTAGAGGGGGAAAAAAGTACAACTGTATAACTGGTGAAAACAGTTCAAACAACTGTTTGAACACTGCTTTATCACTTTCTTGCTACCTCTACTGTAATGCAATTGATATAAAGTAACGGTCTACAAATTTCATACAAATTTGCAGACACCACAATGACGTTAAATAAATAACTCCTTGTCTTTTATCAAAACTTCAGATTCTAGCAGTATTTTTCATCAATATGTGGGGGAAAAAGTGAGCCACTAGTGGTTATACAATATAAAACAAGCACAGTCCTCAGTTCAAACCAGGATTTAACAGCCTTTGGGGAGTTCACTCTGCCCTGAGAGACTGACAGGGCACTTTGCCTTTCTTTGGGCATGAGAACTTACGGTCACACAGTGCACGCAGGAGGGTCGTTGTTTTCCACTGCTGATTACTTCTGTATCAGCTGCACATAGGCCTGGGACACAGTGCTATACAGCACTGCTGTGTCCGTGCATGTCCAAAAACAATTCTGTGAGCTTTGCCGAATTACAAATGTAAGTAAATGATTAAACAAGCACAGACTATTTCACTGCTCTTCTACATGTGGTTTTCTCTTCTGGAGTATTTTATAGAGAAGAAATAAATATTTTCAGTTAAAGAGTCAAATTATTAAAAGATCTCTAAAGGAGGAAAAGGTATTTATTATGCCATTGTAGAGAATGGGAAGGCTTTAGCTTGACAATAAAATCTGTAACTGTGTACTTTGGAACTAAAATGATTTTAACCCAGATATAGAAAAGGAGATTTTCTGGGTAGAAACTTATACATAAAGAGAAAACCCATGTGCAACGATCTTTTTGCAGAAACAAGAAGTTACGCTTCAAAGGTTGAATTATGGGGTTTGATAAAAGTATTTTCTAGAGGCATGCAGAATGAAAAAATTATCATAGGCCAACTATGTAACTGTAAAGGTAGCACACACATAGGCTTTTTAAGTAGTATTGATTCATGTCTTACGTTCCAAGGTTCCCTCAGTGGAAATAACCATGCAATTTTAGATACCAGGCAAACATTTATCAAAATTTTAGAGGCTGACTAATCATCTGTTATTCCTCTGAGGGAAGAGGACGGGTGGACAGTTTTGATATAATGAAAATGGTGGCACCTATTATTAATCAGTCTATAACCATTATTTTGCAATGTGATACCCCCTAACACTGAGGAAGAATATAGGTAGCCCATACAGAAAGTGAAGTATCTAATTAACTTTTTCTAAAACTTCTTGGGTTTTACACATATTTTGGAGAAAATGAAGAAATAAATTTATTGAAACATTACACTTTTTTCTTGCTATAGTGCATCTGCACCTGGTAGAACTAGGTATATGTTTTCCAGTGAATTATCATCTCTTTCAAATAAGGTTAATTTTTTAAAAATTTGAAAAATTTTTCCACCGCTGAAGCATTTACAATCAGTCTAAAATAAAAGCCTTTTTTGGCTAGTACTTATTGAAGGAATTCATCGTACCACATTTTTCTTGTCTTGTTACAAAACATGGATTACTAAAACCATAACTCCGCACAAGGCTGCTAAATCTAAGGTTAAAATTTGGTGCCAGGTATTCTAGTGTTAATCCAGAAAAATTCCATATTATCAGTGGATTTGTACTAGTGCAACAAAGCCAAATCAGCCAATTAAATGAAGCAAAGCAACTTAATTTATACACAAAGTATTTCAAGTGGACCTGATTCTGCATTCTAGGCACACTCTAAGTAGCTACAGACATCAACAGAAGCCTCAAGTGAGCATGGAAAACTGTACTGGTCTGTTATTAATAAAGCAAGAATGATGAACTTTCCTCTGAAATTAACAATTTTAATGAGCTCCAACGTACGTGTAAATGTATACTCGGGGAACACCATTTATACTGTGACACTCTCCAAATAAGGAATCTTTCCCTTGTCCCCCCTCCCCAGCCTCCCTCTTCAATACTTTTATATTTAATACTCATTAGGCCATTGAAACAATCTCTTCACCAGGTAATAAATCCTGGTAACTTGATAACCCTCGTAAACGCTTCATCATCTGTATTCTCTCAGACAGGTAGATATATATCCACATAGATGTAACTGGGCAAACACTGGGTGGTCAATATTTCATACTAAAAATACATCAACTACCAATAACGGTGATATTTATAACACGAGCATTAGTATCAAACATCAATTTGCTTGTTGTGCCATAAAGCAAAACAAACAAAAAGTTAAAACTGCTTCCCAAAAACTAAACATTTATACTTAAAAAACCCAAAGAAACTAAACCCAAAACATTGTCTCTGTTTATCTACTCCTCTCTGTGTTCAAGTAAAACAAGCAAACTTCTATACCATAATAAAACTGAAGAGCAAGCCGAGTATTTCATCCATCTCTTTACACACTACTCTGGGCACCAACATTTTTATCTCCAATTCCCAAAAATATGACCATAAAAAGTTTTACTTTAGGGAATAACAGGCTTGCAGCCTGTTTTCTCAGCATACCCACAGAAGTACTTCACAGCTGTTTTAATCCCATCTCATCTATTAAAGGAAGACATCTCCTCAACAACCTATCTATTTTGACATCTTAGTTGTTACAAGACAAAAAAATATGTCTGTTTGTTTTGTTTCTGTGATGTAAGAATTTTTTTTCCTTTTCATTTATGCCACAGTTTGATGTTCACTTAAATATGCCTGCATATTTTTACAGTACTCTACAGTACCTCTGTATTATATGTCTGTATTATGTGCCAGTAAATTCTGGCACATAACGCTAAGCAAATTTGTAGCATATCACTTGCATTTTACATCTCAAATACAGTAGAAAAAACTTAAGTCAGAAGCTGCTTTTATGCAACTGTCAACATTTCAGACTGATTTATGACTTTCACCTGTGAAGACCACAGAAACTAAGTTTAGGGAAAAATAAAACATGTACAAGAAAAGGGAAAAAAATGATGGTTTGGACCCTTTTATAGCAATGCAGCTACTGTATTTTAATCAGATACAAAGATGTCAAAAGCTAAAGCCCTGCTGGAACATCAAACTCTGCCAGAGCATGCAAGAAGCCTGTCTGTCTACCATAATAGAAATTTTCCACATTTAAGGACCACAAATGGTTATATGTATTACATTAAAAAATGGGTTATTAATAAAAATGCAAATTGTTACATTGTAAAAGCACGCTCTGATCAAAGAAGTTCCCTGCTTTAGAATGCGTATTATTCACTTTATACTACAGTGAGTCATTAAGCCTGCGCCAGTTGAAAAACACTACTTCTATTTAACACCTGAAACTATAACCACACAATGATTACAGTTTTAAAAACATTTTACAGAAAGAAATATAAATGAACTGATGTAAAGAAAACACATGCTATTGATTTCAATATAGCAATGCTACCTTACATAAGGTAAGGCATCTATCCTTAGATCTTGTATGACTGTACGTAGTGTATTAAAAACAAAGCAATTCACATCTGAAAAGTTACACACAGAATACTGGGAAACGCATTTTATATTGCCTTCCACTCTGTGTCTTAAATTACTCTGATGACTGAAAAAGTGAAAGGACCTTTTTTTGTTGGTGGTGGTTTTTAAATCTTAACTAGGGAATCTGTATTGAAGCATAGTACAGTAACTCTGGAAAAATGCCACTGCCGCACCTATTCGACATTTCAATTACTCCTATACAAAGTCTAAATACACAAGAATAATATCTGCTTAAATAACTTCTTGGATTTGTAAAGTGAATTATACCTCCTGCTGTTAACAGTATTTTGTTTTCTGATTTGCCTATTTCCATACAGGTCTGTAAGAACTCCCAACTGTCCTAGTCATTCAATCATCCCTGATAACAGGCATTTTATCCGCATCTTTTCCTACAACCATGTTTTTTCAAATTTCCATTTTATTTCACTTTGATGACAAATTGCAAAAACTTAATTTCAATTCTGCTTTTAGTTCTAACATCAGACTGTTTAAACTCTCAGTAATCATAGTAATGAAAATATGTTTTAATAAAAGGACTTTTGACTTAATTCAGTTGGTGAGGATGCTTTTCATGTTTGACTAAGTATTTTTGCCCAGTTCTTCCAACTATAAACTCTTTGTTTCACATCGCAGTATAAAACAGTAAGATTCAGGAAGAGAAAACCTGTCACTGCAGGTGTTTCATACAGATGTTTCAAGAAAGAATGGCTTAAAAATAAACTAATTCTAAAATGATAAGCCATGCCAGAACCACGAAGCCCATCCCGCCTTTCTTTTCTATTACAAAGCCTGACTGTGGTTAGAAAACTACTTTAAAAAAGAAAGCCTCTGTAACTGCCTAAACGGGGGCCTCCACAGTGACCTTGCCCACCATAACAAGGGCCTCGACAGGAACCCAAGGGGCTATAACAACATGAGTAAATACTGAATCTTGTTCTGCATGAAAACTAATCAGGTTTGCCCGGTCACAGGGTGTAAACCTGCAGCGACTCAGCTGCAGAGGTGTAAACGCATTCACGTTACGTGAAATCACATCCCACCACGTTTTTGCTTCAGATAATAGAATAAAATCAAACCAGCACAGAAGTCCCGCTGCTGGCAAAGCTCTGTCACACAAGGGCACACGGCAGCCAAACACGGAGTGTTTATTAAACAGACCCGGAGTCTCCTCTCCGGGCCTGCCCCGACAGGGACCGAGCGGATGGTCTGCTTCACTCTTGCCACCCTGGAAGTTGGCTCGTTATCCCCGTCCGTCCCCAAGCTGCGCTGGGGTATCTCCTGACCCGCAGCCTTCCCCGCCCCGGCGGGCGCGCAGGCGGAGCGCTCCGCTCACCTGCCAGCAGCCCCGGCTAACCCCGGCCGGGCCTCCCGCACGGCCCAGCCCGGTCCGCCCCGCAGATCGCGGCAGCTCCGCCCGCCCCCCTCGCTCCCACGCAGCCCCTCAGCCTCGGTGCCCTCCAGACGCTCTCCCGACACCAGCCGGTGGCGCGGAGCGGGCAAGGACTCGCAGTCCCCCAGAGCCTCCGCAGCTCCGCCCTGCCAGCGCCAGCCTTAAGGGGACGCCCAGCGAGCGGCGGCAGCGGCAGGCGAGGCCCGGCCTGTGCTCACGACCGACCGATCGGACTTGGCGGCCGCTCCTCCCCGCCGCAGCCCTTGCCCGGGCGGCCGGCACAGCCCTGCGCCCCTCGGCGGCACCGCCGGGGCCGGGCGGCGCGGAGCCCGCGGCATCACCCGCCTGGCAGCTCCGCGGCCGCCGGGTCCTAGCGCCGCCCCGCCCGAAGTTCGGCGCTGGGGCTGCCAACTTCGGACCGAGTTGGCGACGCGGCCGCTCCGCTACCTTCGCTCGCCGTGGAGAACGTAGGAGCTGCGGAAGAAGCCCAGCAGTTCGTTCTCGATGAGGGCGTTGTAGATTATCTTGAGGTTGTAACTTCTTTGCACCTCTAGGCTGCGGTTGAGGACCACGACGAACACCTGTGTCTGGGGGTAAAAGAAGGTGCGGGCCACCCGCACGCCGCCGGCCAGCTTGTCCTCGGCCACGCGGACTGCTTCGATGTGCATGCGGTGGGCATGCAGCACGATGTACCGGCTGGCGTTGCGCACCTCTAGCTGCACGTTCACCTCCCCGCTGAAGGTGAAGTTCTCCATGAAGGCGCTCAGCATCAGGTTGTAGTGCAGCGGCCGCAGGTGCCGCGGCAGCCGCGGCCGAGCCCAAGGCGGCAACTCCTGCCGCCGCTGCCACTCCTCCTCCTCCTCCTCCTCTTCCTCCGCCGCTTCCCCGCCCCGCGCCTCCTCCTCTGGCTGGCCGGGGGGCTGCCCCGCACCGGGTGGCTGCCGGGCCGCCCCCGAAAGGCTCCCGTTGCCGCTGGCCCGCGGCGGGCCGTCGGCGGCGGCGCCGCACTCCTCGAAGCGGACGCTGAGCAGCACGGCGATCATGGTCACCGCCAGCAGCGCAAGGATGGAGACGGCGAAGCCCAGGACCAGCCGCTTGTGCACGGCGATATGTCGCTCCGTGGTGCGGGGTCTTGGCCCCGCCGCCTCGGCCCAGGGTCCCGGCGTCAGTCCCCGGCTGCCGTTCCGCAGGGCGGCCTCCTCCTCGATCATCATGGGGGTGACGGGCGGGCGCTTCTCCCGCTTCTCCTCCAGGGCCATCACGGCAGCGCCGCTCCCGCCTCCCACGAGGCCGCCGCCACCCGAGGGGGCCCCGAAAGCATGGAAGGCTCCAAGGCAGGGGGGCCCTCAGCCCAGGTGGGACGCACCGCCCCTCACTTCCCAACAAGCCGCATCACCCTGGCCGCCGGGAGCCCCGCTGGGGAGCGGCTCCCGGTCGGGGGGACGGGACGAGGTCGGGTCAGGTCGGGCAGGAGGCGGCGGGCGCTCTCCGCCGTCCGGCCGCCGGGGCCGCGCCGCGCAGGCAACTTGTGCGGCTTCTGCGGGGCACTTCAGCACATGCCGCTGAGCACACCTCGGCGCCAAGGGGGAGGGCTCTGCCGCCCCGGCCCCCCCGCTAGCACCGCCGACCGCAGGGAGCTCTCTTTTCCCCGCGTCCCGAGTCGCCGGGGCCGGGGTCGGGCTCCTCGCCCGGCCCCAGCAGCGCCCGAGCCATGCGCGCCCCGGGGGCGCCGCCGCGCAGGTCGGGCCGTCCCCGCGGGGCTCGCCCGGCACCGGAGCGGTGGCACCGGACAGCGGCGTGAGCCGGGCTCGTCCTCCTCTTCCTGCGAGCGGGTCGGGCTCCAGAGAGTCGCTCCTCGCGGCTCCTCTTATTTTCTCTTTCCTGTCTCCTGCAGGTACAAAGCACTCTCCCGGCTGGCTCGAGCAGAGGCGGCTATATATAGGCACTGGGGAGAGGCGAAGGAAGGAAAGGGATGGGAAGGGGGGAGAGGCGGGCAAGCCCCGCCGCCCCTCGGCTTCAGCGGCTGCTCCGGCTGCCGGCGGTGACGGCGGCGCCCCGGGGGAGCGGGCGGGGGCGGGAGGCGGGGGCGACGCGGGGATGAGGGAGGCTTTTCTCCGGTGTGTCACACGCGGCGGCTCCGGGGGAGGTCGCTGAGGCGGCGGCGGGAGCCCCGGCCGGGGCGGGCGGAGAGCGAGGGCCGGGCAGCCGCCGGGGACGGGGCGGCTGCAAAGCCTCCGAGCCGCAGGACTGCCCGGGATTACACGCAAATGCGTGTGCTCGCCACATAAATATTGAACGCCCTTACTGTGTCGTATTTATAGAGACTTAATAAAAAGCCGCCGACTACGTGTTTGGACGACAATAGTGCTGTCATACTAACGTGGGGATGGAGCTCAGAAAAGGATAAATACTCCTACTTAAATCGATAGGATTAATATGCCGAGAAAAAAATCGTTCCATAAGCTCTGGCTGGAACTCTCAGAAATCCCTTTGCCGTTCCTCCACGGACCCAGGACTGCCAGTGCTGAACCCTGCTCCTCAGCTGGAGGGATTTTAAGGATATGTTAAATGCTGCCTGGGGTAATACAGCAACGCTTCGCTTGAGTAGCCCTTGGAGCGAGCCCCGGTCTGGAAAACTGAATCAGCCCACTTTTTCCACCTGTCCCCAAACTTTTGCGTGTAGGGACTGCAGAAACACAGAATTAATATATACAGCGAGGATGTAGATCAATGTCTGAAAGCACCTCTGTTCCCCTTATTTTGCTTGCATACGTCAAAACCTGCCTCTGTTCATTTTCTTTTTTGAAGCTCTTTAGCTCCAGTCTTGTAAGTAGTTACAGATGTCTCTATCCACGGCATTCAGTCCTGTGGAATCTACAGGAATATATGCTGTACGTCAAGTTAAATGCATACATAACAATTTGCAGGATAAAGGCCTTATTTTCCATAGTGAAGAAAAAAGAAAAAAAAATAAAAATCAAGTCCTACACTTCTTTCATAAGCCAAGCAATTCTGCAGAGTTTCATGAAATGGGATGTATTAGCCATTTCACTTCAAGAGGAAATGCCTGATCTGTTTTCCATGAATCTATGACATCTTCTAGAAATGTTACGTCACTCAAACCAATTTTGTCTAACGATTGCTAGTTTAAATATAAGGAATTTACTATCTTCCGTATATACTCCTTATATTTCCTTATATGTTCCTATAGAAGGATTGTATTTAGCTCCACTGTCCCTGGAAGGAAATGAGCACAGTCTAAAAAGCGTTTGTGATCTTAACTATTCTTAATTTTAAGTATGGTGATACACTTGCTAATTGTGTTTGTACATCCTAGGAGGACTAAGATTTTGCTCCATAACTGGCATTCCCACATATTTCCTCTGGTGATATTTGACTGCCCACCTATTACAACAGGGCAAAGAACAAAAACGTTTTATTATCCGACAATAGCCTTCATTATTTACTGACTAAAGTTTGAGGCAGGAAGGTAGAAAACTATTGCTATGTGATTTGGGGAAAAAAAAAAAGAAACAAACTGACACAGCAAACTAACATCTAAAGCTACGGGTTTAAAATGTCAGTTTCTATATGTTTCATTAAACCCTTTAAAAGTGGGCACAAAAGGAAGTGTCTGAGTGCTTTTAAGATTTTGTATGCAAGCTGTCAGTATCAGGCATTAGTAAGATAGGCAGTGTTTCCCTCTATCGCTCTCTGCATTTGATTTTTAAGTTATGTTGTTCCCATCAGCAGTGCATGGAGACATTCAGGCAAAGATGTGATTCAAGAGTAGAAGTAGCCTAGAATACAGTGGAACAGTATGTGTCATTTATAAATATTTTTAATTTTTAATCACATTTTTAATTAAATACAATTGAATAGTTACAGCTTTCACAGTTTAAGGTTTTTGTGAAGCCTTCTCAGAAAAGCAGTGAATGGCAGGCAGTTGGGCTAACCAGCCCTGCCACTTAAAGGGGGATGTACCACTGTGTGTGTGACAGCACGGGAACATCATCCTGGCCTTCTTGATGTACAAATAACAACCTCAGCCAAGGGAGTCAGTCACACAACTCAGCTTTGAGAATATTGGTCTATAAATTGAAGGGCCAGTACTGGGAGAGGGTACGTAAAAAGTTTAAGGTGCATGCTAGTAAGAAGCCATGAGGCTGACTCCTTTTAAGCCAAGTTGAAATAGCACTCAAAATACTGGCGTAAGGCATGAGTGATGGGAGTTAAGGCTGCTTATATTCACCTCCAACTTTCGTCATTGCTCAAACGGAGCAGTGAGAGGTTTCCAACCCCTCTCCACCTCTCTTTGGGCTTCTTGTCAGTCTGGAGACTTACAATAAGAAGGTTCAGCTAGGTACTGTGTTAAATAGCTCATGTCGTTCAACTCATCCATCATTCTAAAACTTCACATTACTAGATTAACCTCTTTTTCATATTAGTAATGACAGGTTTCTAAAACATAGCTTGAGCAGATACAGGTCAAGGGAGGTATTAACTTACTAATTTGTTCTCAAATGCTACTCTCTGCATGTAGTTCTGTGTACAGACTGATATATAGCCTTTTGCTGAAAAAATACAAAGGCATGGGGCTCCCAAAAAACAATGTGTGTACATCTGGGGAAAATTCTTGTTTTTTCATTTGTCCACAGTTACAAACATAGATGTGGAATGCAACTCCTTTGGTCTTTCTGCAAAGACTGTTGGAAAATACATCGAATCATTGATCATTTTTTCAGTAAAATCCTGATGATGACTCCCTGTTGTTCAAAATTTCCCGTAGGCTATCAACATGTTGTATGCAATCTCATTTTATGAGCTTATAGCTTAGGGTTTCACATACTCATACAAAATATGAGTATGTCTCACCTTAGCAGAATTGCTGTGAAGATGGCCCTCCCTCGACAAGTATCAGAAGAAACATGTATATACTTCATACAGCACAGTTTCCAATTCTATACCAGCTTGTAGCATGGCTAGTAAAGAGCTGATGAGGGACCCCCATAAAACTGTAGTTTATGTTAAGATTGCACACAACACCTCTCAGTATTCACACTGGTGCTTTACAGTCTTGGAAGAAAAACTCTGTAAATGAGCAACCTCACTATATATCATGCAGCTGGGTACAGCTCAGCCAAACTGGGGATCAGGACATTACAGTTTTCTGAGTTAACCCAACTATTGCTGCTTTTTAACCCGAGTCATCCATCCTTCATTCATCTGGGTATAGCAGAGGTTTACAGACAGACTTTATCGTACTGACTCCATTCACAAAAAAAGCCGAACCAACCAAACAAACATAAAACAAAAAACAAACAAACAAAAAATCCCAAATATGGTAAGGGGCTCAAAAAATGTCCCTCTATGCAAAGACAAAAATCAATAAGAATTTATGTTGGGAAGAATTACAGGGGGAAAATACTGCATCAGCCCACATCAGTCAGTGCTCCACTGATCCTTTCAGCTTCATTCAGGCATTTCTCTGGTCATAGGTGGATTCTCCTTGCATACTTCAAAGTCAAGGTTACCCATAGGTCTTAACCTGTCCTGTTTAAGTCCTAAAGTGGATTACAATTCATAGCCTGCAAACATATTGGTCAAAAAACATCAATAAGGTGACCTCTGAAAGTATTATGAACTATTCACTTCTCACAGATCCATGTGGCTATTACTTAAAGACCAAGCATGGGCTGACTGTTTCCAAGCCACACAGGTTACCAGCAAAGCAAAGAGGAAATTATCAGTCCATCATCATTGGCTTTTCAGTTATGACTAATTCCCCAAAGAAGTGACGCTGCCATACAGAGGACAGATGAGTCCTCTTGAGGCTTACAAATAGGCCAAAGGAAGTGGATTGGGACAGTGGCCCGACTTTTAGTGGTTTTGGGGTTGGTTTTCGTTTGGTTTGGGTTTTTTTCCAGAAGACATTTTTGGTAACATGTCAGGTTTAACATATGGCACTGGGGAATACACCTTCTGTTTAGTTTAAAAAATGCTGCTAAGAAAAATGCTATGGGAAAGACTTTCTAATTAAAAGTGAAAACACTGGATTGTAAAACAAGCTGACACACAGTGATTTGTGCTGGCTTAAACATACAAAGAAAAGCAACATTCCTTCCGTTGTTTTCTGCTCCTTCACCCGCATGTCACCTGTATAAATGACCTTCTTTCTTACTTGAGTTCATTGGCATTAAGTGCTATTTATGTTTAGTTTATAATTAGAGATGTCCAGATGACTCGGTAAGGCTTTATCTTGGACAGGTTTTGTTTTTCCTTTTCTAAAGGAACAGATATATGAGGAAGGGGCTTGG